ATCCCGATCTCAAGGTCACTCGTCAGGATGCCATTCCCGCGACACCATCGTCATTGCAACACGGTATTCGCGAACCTCGGTGCGTTGCACCCGGCAAAACCTATCAGTGGTTCTCCAAGCGGCTTCGAGACACAATGCGCGTAGTCGCATATTTTTTTGCATGTTTTCTTCTCTCTTTTACCCGAACCATTACGTATGATTCATAGTTAACGAGAATTAGGATGAAACGTTGCTTCCTAAATTCAACTGCAGTGAAAGGGGGAAACTTGAATAATTACGTTGTACCACGTTGCATTCGAGATACATTTAGATCGCGTTTGCGAAACGCGTTTCGGCCATTTCTCTAAAAGCGCAATTTCAAAATGTGTGTCGCGAGTGAGCATCTCGGACACGAGCGCTATGATTAGCGATTACAACATCGCGATATTAGTCACGATGCGATTCCTCCATGCGTACATATGCATGTGCATGTACATATCACGTCTATAGCACGTTACGAGCTATATCGATCAGTATGATGGCTCTATGCACAGTATATACTAATAACGATTTAAACATGCACATTACGCAGAGATTTTCTTCATGGTTATTTCACTGTTTCAATCTTTGAATCTTTTATATTCCCTCTTATTTTTCACTATCATGTACATAAAATATCTCAAATCCATCAGATTGTCTTCCATCTCCGAATTTTATTTAGGACACTATACGTGATATTTTTAATGCTGATAAAAATTAATTTCTGTTTAATTTGAGAAAAACATCGATAAAATTTATTTAGCAATTAAAAGATTTTAATTCTCATGTGAAGTAAAAGATATAGATATTAGATCGTAGAAATAATTGATTCGCGAGATAAGTATGTTGTGTCACGATTTTCAATGTCGCATGATCGAAAATTCCGTAGGTAAAAGCAGCATATAATCACATTCTACCGGAACTTGGAAACGCAATGAAAATGTATGGAAATTAATCTCGAATCGCGTAAAGTGTAGGCAAAAAAAATTGCGTAACACGGTATTATTCAATTATTCATAGAATTTAATATTGTATTTATAACTTGTTATAAATATGTATATATCGTTTAAATTCATTTATTACTGACGTACGATGAAAGAAAAAAAAAGAAAATCAATACTTATTAGAAACAAATTAAATCAATCAAGATCATAATAACATCGATTCTAATAACCTGATTAAAGGCTTGATAAAAAAACTTGTTAAAGAGAAAAATCGAGTATTATCAATATGACGTACATGCATGTCTGAGTAAAAAAAGTCGTTCGAATCTAAGAAATAGTTTAATTTATGAATTCCGTCCAATACCTTCCGTTTACCGGTTCTTGTGAATTATTCGTTAATGGTGGCCATGTCATTAAATGAGCTTGATTGCAAGCGCTCGTATATCGGCATTCGGAGAGCTCGGTGTAAATATCGATTTGTTCGAAATGGGCCACGTCCATCCACGTTCGCGATTTTGCTTTTTTCCGCGCTTTCGTACCGCGAGCTTTGATGTCGAAAGAGTTTCGAGTCGAAATACAAGTACAGAAGGAAAAGAAAGCTTTTTCTTATCTCGTAAAAGCTCCGTTCGATCGAGGCTGAAACTTTCAATCGCGACAGATTTATTTTGATCGTTAACACGACAGGATCATTTTATTAGCTCAAAGTTTCGATGAATTTTCCAGTTCTAAAATATCAGATCTCTGATACTTCGATCCGTGTGCACTTCCATTAGTGTACTTGTTTGGAATTTTTGGTTCATCCTTATTTCGCGATACGTAAGAAGAGAATCTACCATGTATATACAGTACTGGACAAAATAAATCATACACCTTTCAACAAATTGAATTTGTTAGTATAACTATTCTTTTAACAAGCAAATAGCTTATTAGATACAGGAAAGTTGAAGCATTTCAAAGTATTTAAATAAAGAAAATATAAAATAATAAAAATTATGTTTAATTTTTTTGTAAAAAATTTATTATTCAATATTGTTACATTTTGCCCTGGACAAAATAAATCATACACTTTTAGAAGTAATAGTTAGCAAATAAATAAAGTTAATTCTAATTGTGATTAATACTTAGTATGGCCACCTTTGGCTTTCAATACCTGCAGTCGGCGAGGCATACTTTCGACTAATTTCTTTAAGTATTCAGAATCAATTTCCTTCCGAGCCTTCTGGAGTGTTGCATAGGACGATGTCTTGTCACTTACGTTCGTTTTATTCACGTTCACATTTAAATAAGCCCACATAGTTTCAATTGAATTAAATCTGATGATTGCGGCGGCCATTCGATCAGTTTTACCTTATTAGATTTGAAAAATGCAGTGGTTTTCTTCGCCTTATTCTTCGCTTAGGGTCATTATCTTGCTGGAAGATAAAGTTGTTTTCTAAATCCAATTTCAAATAGATTCTTTCAAATTCTCAATACATCAATATATCCTTCTGCCGTCATGATGCTTTCAATTCGAGCCAAATTATCGATCCCATACCATGTAAAGCATTCTCATACCATAATATTACCGCCTTTATATTTTGCAGTCTTCTGAATATAAAACTGGTCGAATGGCCGCCACAATCACCAAATTTAATCCAATTGAAATTATGTGGGCTTATTTGGATGTGAACGTGAATAAAACGAACATAAGTGACAAGACATCGTCCTATGCAACACTCCAAAAGGCTCGGAAGAAAATTGATTCTGAATACTTAAAGAAATTAGTCGAAAGTATGCCTCGCCGACTGGAAGCGGTATTGAAAGCCAAAGGTGGCTATACTAAGTATTAATCACAATTAGAATTAACTTTATTTATTTGCTAACTATTACTTCTAAAAGTGTATGATTTATTTTGTCCAGGGCAAAATGTAACAATATTGAATAATAAATTTTTTACAAAATAATTGAGCATAATTTTTATTATTCCTATTTTCTTTAAATACTTTGAAATGCTTCGACTTTCCTGTATCTAATAATCTATTTGCTTGTTAAAAGAATAGTTATACTAACAAATTCAATTTGTTGAAAGGCGTATGATTTATTTTGTCTAGTACTGTATATATTTCTTTTTTCCTCTCTTCCAGACCCCTTTTAAGCGCTGTATCAAAATATGTGATATGCAGATGTCGCGTTTAGGGGCTCTCGCGGGGGACACCACCGTGATTTAGGCTAATTATGCGCGGCCAAATAGGTTTCTCCTACCAACCGGTATATCTCTATGCATCCTACTGGGACACGTGACCTTTCCAGCTACCACCATGTTAATCTTCGTGCATACACGCGTGCGCACGAGAACATATCCGCGTACATCTATTCGTCGTATGTTTATTTTCCCGGATAAATTCCATCTTACAACTGCGTGCATCTATCTCAGATTCGCAGAGAGTTTTCGTTGCGTTTCGCTCCGCGTATCTTGCACTTGTACATGCGTGGATGCACCTTTACACGCTTTGCATCTCTATGCATGTTTCCCTACTTAATTATACATATACACGTGTACACATGTTTGCGAGAATTCTATAGCCTCATCCGTGAATTTCTTGAGATCAATGAAGAGAAATTTTAATTCTACATTATATCAATAATTTTTTTAATTTTTCATGTTGAATATTTCGATAATTAAAGTTCTAGATTAAAATTCTGATAAAGAGAATGCGATGGTAATTCCTAAGAGACACTGTATATGTATATATTATATATATATATATATATATATATATATATGTGTATGTGTGTGTGACTGCTTATCGCGTGGAATATATATGTACGGACACACATCGGAAGCGAATAGACATGATAATTATAATTCCCTTACACATGTAAATGTGTACGTGTAATTGTACATAATCTCTACAAATGAGTATACGATATATGCTTATGTACATATATATAAGGAAATTATATGCGTAGTGGTTGTACTAAATACCGATCCTTGACTGCGCGTATAATTAGCCTCAAGTATCGGTAGACGGTCGTCTTATACATATGTACGTAATTCCTCATAATATATGTATGTAACGCATCTCGACGGACACGTAGGTAAACGCTAATATACATACCTATGTATGTCATACATATATATCTCAAAATTTCGGCAGACTGAGCGGCTATCAGAGGAAAAGGTGACTCCACACCTGGGTATTTGCATAAACATCTGTCAGCGTTCCTAGCTTGTTGTTTTACAAGAATGAAGTCAAACAACAAGCGCGCGATTCTACTTCTATTATTTTTTTTTTTTTTCGGACGGGGTGCGGATTGTGAGCATCCCTCGTTCTGTCGCAAACTCGATAATCGACCAACGACGGATCGTGTAATTTACCGATAAAAACACAGGAGCGACGAGTCTGTAGGGGACGCAATTTGGCGATGCTTAGAGTCTCGCGGGGGCTCGAGACGGGAATTGTACGCGTCTGTGCTATCGAGATACAAAGTCGCAACTAGATTACGAGGGTTCGACAGCCGGCGGCAGGGTCGAAGGGTCACTCGCTGGACACGATTCTTATTTTCCGTTCCTCTTTCGTCGCGCGATATCAAATATAGAAGAACGGTAGCCATCCCGTATTATTGCCGGTGATTCGAGGGATGACAATAGCCATTGCTTATTTATATCGTACTTTTTTCCCTCAGTAGCAAAATTCCTACTCTCCCGTGGCTAAATTATACCATTATATTCTCTCAGAAAATCGCGCAATTTTTTTCTGTGAATTCTCATGATTAAATAAGTGGATTCCCTTACTTAAGAAACTTCAATATATTTTTAATATTATATAATTTTAATATTATATTATAATATAATATTATATTATATAATATATTTTTAAATAAATTATAATATAATATATTATATTAATATTATACTAATATTATATAATATATTTTTTTTATTATTGTAGGGCAAATATTTAAATATCCTTAAGTATCTTTTATTACCTCCGAGCTGGAGATTTTTATCGCGCGCAATCTACAGGGTGTAAACTAAATCTTGGATTTTATTCGCAGGTGTCAGCCGGCCAGCACATGCAGCTCACGGGCGATCTGAAGCCGGTCGTGTCCGTCGCGGCGCAGCAGGGCATGTACTTCAATCAACAGACGCAAAATCAGGCTGTGCCTTCGGCCAACCAGACCGATACCTACTGCTCGGTCTCGCAGTCTCAGACCATCAACTTTACCCAGCAGAGTCTGAGGCAAAGGGCGGCCGCGGCTGCGGCCGCTGGTGGGGTCCCACAACCTGGAGCAGCCGGTCCAGGAGCGCGAGGCCATCCACAGCAAGTGTCACCGGCCCAGGTCGACCAGCATCAGCACGCGAAGCATCAGCTTCTTCAGCAACAGCAGCAATTGATGCGCGCGCAACAAGTAAACGCGCATTTTGTTCATTCTTGCTTTTGTTGATAAGTTTGCAGGAGGAGATGGTTTCATATACCGCAAAAATACATGTCTCGATGTGAGTTTTGGAATACACTCTCGAACCGTATTGTCAATTTCCGTAAAACAGCCACTGATCTAAACGATTATCGTTTACAAATTAACGTATGGTGAGTGAAATAAAAGTCTTTTCGTGACGCATTAATATCAATATTCAATTCTTGTTCAACTGTCATGTATGTTATATATACATTTTCACGCGATTGTTTTCCTTCCGAGTTCTCACATTCTTAGCTCATACCGTTTGTACTTACGTGAACTCGAGACTCGCGATTAAGAGTCGTTACATCGCAAAACTTGCACCGTGACGATCGTCTATGTAGGTAAGCTCGCGATACCTCCGATGGCACATTATCTAAGACATTAAGCTCGAGCGAGAGAGAAAGAGAAAAAGAGGAGAGAGGGTTCCGCGACGTTCGTATGCAACAGGTACCGCTACTAGGTCTTTTGCAACTTCTGCGTCCCGCCGCGTTGAAAGAAGCAGACACAAATAGGACAAATAGCGCGGGATGCTTTCTCAGAGACACGACCAGGGAACAATGGAAAAGTTTTTGCCAGAGTTTCCGCGCGAGGAATCCGTTTCGATGATCGAGAAAGGGAATAAATCGAGCCGCGACTCGACTCGATCGCGGGAATATATCGGTGAATTAGGTGATTATTCGCGCTTCACATGAGATTAAGTGTCGTCGATACATATACTTTTATTTATGGTTTTTCGGCTTTTAATAAATTTGCTCAATCGCGTAAAATATGCAATTGCTCGTATTAAATAGAGGATATTGAATAAACAATTTGTAAAAATCCGTCAGTCTTTGCATGGATTACATCTCTGATTTCTTTCTTTCATACTGGAATTTGATAGAATCCCTTTTGATTTTTAATTTTTCAAAAATCTTTCTTTAATCATGGTCCTCTTCTAATCAAGATACATGTTTGGCATTAAATTTATAGAAATTAATTAATTTTTAAATTAATTTAAATTAGACTCTCCTTATTCGCGGTTTGTTCTCACGGAATCGTCACGATTAAACGCGTAGTCGGGAAGTCAACGCAAAATTGCGTGGTGCACACACGAAACTACTCTTGGCGCACGCGATCGCACTCGCCTAGATCTCGTAACGAGTCGCCTATTGGGCAGATGACTCAGTCGCAGCGCGCGACGCGATTATCTTGATAATGCTAAGGTACCGAAGACAACGTCGTGCTCCAGTTACTAATTGTACATTTCGCGCAGTTGTTACTCACTCGTTCTTCCAGGGATAGCTTCGGGCGAGAGAGCACTGTATTATCTAGAACGGTCCAAAGCAGCTCTTATGATCTTATCCGGAATATTCACGTGAATTCGACTTGTGAATGTTAGTATGCGCATGTCAAATATTAACTTAAACGCTGCAGATGTTTTATTTTTATGTATATTTTTTTCTCGACACAACGATAAAATCAGTGGATTCGGTTTAGAAAAATCGCTGCCTTCTAATATGGTATTCATGTGTTTTTTTCCTCTTTCTTTACCACATTTCAAAACATTTATCTAGCATGCATCAATATTTTGTTTTATTTTTTATTTCAATAAATTTCAAAATTCTCTCAAAATTAATATAAAAGAAAATTATTTCTGAATAAATAAGATAAATTTAAATAAGAATGATTATGATGCCTAGATTAAAAAAACAATCAAATCTCTTTTTTTAATTTTATGATTTTGATATATAAATACTTTTATTAATAGAAATCGCAAACTTAAGAAAAATTAATTTGGCTACTTTTCGAAATTAGATATCTCAGTTATTTTCTCATAAGTGTGGCAAATATAAGCAAATAAAAATTTTATTTTAATTGAAATATATTCTCATACTTGTATACGTGTAATTGATCATCAGTTAATAAAAAAATCTCCCGATTAATTAAAGTAGCATAATATTTGCCTGAGAGAGAGAGAGAGAGAGTCACATGTTTACTTATCTTTGCTTATCTATATATATTTGCACATATATTACGATTTTTATCAAATTATATTTATCTTGTTATAATATATTTATATGCGTAATTGTTTTATATAAATGTTTTTTAAATGTACATATGTAAATCCTGAAATTATAAATTTAGATTTAGTCAATATCTTTATCGAATTTTGCAGTCTCTCCTTTTCGAGTTTTCGCATATGTTTCCATATAAATAGACACATACACGATCTCAATTATCGCTTATTTGACAGATTCACAACGATATTGGAATAATCGGTCCGGTATTTATTTCATTTTATTAGAACAGTTAACGTGAATAAAACAACGAGCATCAACGGATATCTATGAGTTCTAGGAATTATCCAAGCTCGTGACACACAAATGGAAAGCCATTCAACTCATTAGCGAAATACGAATTAATATAATTAAACACTAAATATCTCTTTCTCAGGAAAATAAATTCTGGAAACAATGCTATTAAAAACAGGAACTTTTTCTAGAGCCCTTTATTTTTAAAAATCTGCTTGTCTCACTCTATTGTAGCATTATATTCTATTCTTTCTAAATTATTACGATACTATTCCTAACCGATGACCTATTGGCGCATCGTTGCACTCGGTACGAATTATCGAGATCAGCGAGAAGGGGAATAATATTTGACGTTGCACAAGTCGGTACCATCGACGTTGCATTTTTCGCTTCCTGGTGTTACGCGGGCGCGAGGAAAGTCCATGGCGAGAGAGAAAGAGAGACGTACGACACAACGAAAGAACAGCATCACCGCAGGAAAGCGACCGCGATGTGGCCGAGACAAACTCCGTTGCTTTCCTCTCGTCATCGGATACATTCACCCTTTCGCTCTCTCTTTCTCCTCGCCTTCCCGTTCATTCCCTCTTGTTCGTCGGCACCAGCCGACATCTCTTTCCATTCTCGAGCAACCTGCGATTAGACGAGCAACGCCCTTTTGCTTTCTCATTCGAGAGAGGAAAAGCTCTCTCCTGCGAAAGAGCAGAGAAAACAGTAGTTAATCATAAAATCGGCATGTGCGATTTTAAAAGAGTACGTCCATCGATCGAGATCTTCAAGTACGAGAACGTCTTCTCGTATAATCCTCGAATTAATATCAAACTATCTCGCCTTTATTATTTCTATCTAATATAAGATATCTTGTGTTTATTCTTATTTTTCTAATTATGATGTGTTCTTTTCTTTTTATTTTAGGTGATACAGCAGCAGCAACAGCAGCACATGGCAGGCGGAATGGGAGCTGTTGTAAGGCCGCCACCGCCCGAATACAAGGCCGCGGCCCAAGCACAAATGATGCACGCTAGTATCGGGATGGGTCAGCAGGCGAGGTTCGCGAATGCTGGGCCCATGCGTAGAGTTACGCAACAACCTATGCCACCGTCAGGTAAGTTCAAACAAAAACAAATCTTATTGGTTCTATCAATCTAATATCTATTCCATTCATTATTCCTTCATTTATAATTGAACATTCGTATCATAAATATGTAAGACTGTATCGGCGGTCACGTTCAATCGAATGATTAAAGAGAAATAAATTTTGCGATAATAATGTTTGTTACTTGCAATAAATAAATATTTCATACGTTTTATTTCATAGTACATTTTTATTCGATATTTTGACACGGATTGCGCGTTGAATGTTAGCGCGAAAAGAATTTGACCGAACGTGAACGCGATGCTGACGTCCTGCTGGATTCGCTCCAAGCTAGATGGTGAAGAGAAGAAGAGAGAAAGGGGAAGGGAACTGGAGAGGGAGAGAGAGGGAGTCGAAACTATCCTTATATACCCTGGCCTCTCTACAAGACTCCTATCGATCGGGTCGACGCCGGTTTTCCCGAGATTCTATTCGAGCAAAAATCTGCAAATCTTTATTGTGTACTTTCCTCTCTCATTTAATTGAGGCAATCTTATCAAACAATTTAGAGACACACAAAAGTCTGAATTAATATAAACAATTATTTCTTTTAGTCAATATAGATACACGAGATATTTAAAATTATCACTTAAATTGTTTACTTATTTTTCTAGGTATTGTAATTTAATTAAAATCTAGAAGAGAAAAAAAGGAAAAAGATATTTTATATACATATAAAATCCAATCCTATCATATTCTCGATGTCTTTATCGAAATATAATTATTATTCTTAATAAGAATCCAGATTTAATAAATTTCTAAAATACTACCTATTTTAAAATTTTTTAAAATTGTGTAAAGTGAGTTTTAGTCTTTCATTAAGAAATACAAGTTTTAATCTTTGATTAAAAAGCAGATCTTGATAAATTTAAAATATATAGGAGAAAAAATGGATTTCTTATTATTAAATGCCAAATTTAACAGCAATGAGGGTTTCTTACATCATGATATGACATGTTTTTCGCAGGTCCGATGATGAGGCCGCAAATGGCGCAACAGCAGCAACAGCAGGCATTACACGCGGCCGGTGGTAATATGTACATGAGTGGCGGCGGGATGGCCGCTATTGGCGGCATGCATCAGATGCACCAACGGCTAGGCTATCCGAGAACTAACAATCAACGGCCGCCCAATGTTAGCGTCGGTCCTCCGGACGGCCTTGGGAACAGTATCGCGGGTCGCGGCCCTCAACAGGAATGGGGACGACACGTTCTAATGCAGCAACAGCAGCAGGGCTTTCAGGCGCAGATGCGATCGCAATTCAATCAGCAAGGTCACCAAGGTGAATACCGAGAACAAGAGAGAGAGAAGGAGAATGGTCCTTGTATTCTCGATATTATCAATTACTAATCAGACTGCTCTTATATTTTGTCTGTTAATTTTTTTAAATAACATTCTCGTTTTTTATCGGAAAACTACATTTTATTCATTTTTTTGAATAGACGGATTATATGAACATATAAATGCAAATTATATTCGAAAAAGTTCACGAAAAATTGAACTCGTTTCGAATGAATGAATTTATTATTGTTCGTAAAAGTTATTTATAAAATTGACATATAGGATTTTATAGAATCATGTGATTTTTCATAGGTGGCTTTGGCATGGGTGGTGCAGGCGGCACAATGCAAATGACCGCGGCCCAGATGCAGCATCAACAGTTAATCCGTTCGCAAAACGGTAATATAGCCGGCTCGGGAATGGCTAACAGCACGCAGATGCAACAATTGTTGACGCAACAGCACCAACAACAAACTCTAGCCATGCAGCAGAACAACAACCAAATGCCATTGCAGATGCAGATGTCACAGACAAGTTCCGTTAGTTCGGTAAACGTTACTGGAACTGGTAAGTACGCGAAACATTTTAAGCAAAATAATAAAAAATAACATTTGAATTCGATTCTAATTTTTAATATAAATTAATTAAATCCTATTAAGTAAAACCTCGCACAAATTTATTTGTTCTCGATATCTGTATCATCAAATATTAACATCAAGAAAAAATATATTTATGCGAGGAATGAGTAATGTTGGAATATCATATTACGAAGGGTGTTATTTCTCTTTCAAGAAGTATGGCTTTTTTATTCAATAATTCTGAGATAAATAATAAATGAATTTCGAATATATTTAGGTTCTCCGTTGCATCCGCATCAGCAATATGGGGCCGGTAGCCCGGGAGTGCGGAGTCTGCCGCCACCGCAGCAACACCCTCAACCGCCACCGCCTACCGCTACTACGGATCCGTCCGTAGCAGCCGCTGACTTTAGCCTCGAATTCCTGGAAAATCTTCCTACGGGAGACACGTCGAATTTCAGCGCTCAAGAATTGCTTAATTCTCTCGATTCTACGGCCGGTTTCAATCTCGATATTCTGTAATGAGATCATTACGTTTGCTGTATGGTCGGTATGTCAGCCGATATGCTAATTTATTATATTATAGGACACGATCACACGTATATATTAAGTAAAAAATATATACTTGGCGCGACGATACTGACGAATTTCATTTCGTCCGTCGCCATATCGATTTTGCTCTTACTGTATTACAAAAGTTTTTGGACAAATTTTTTGAGGATATTACCGAGAGTCAAAGATTTTTGTTTGTAATATTTTTTTTTAGTAGTAAAATTTAATTCTGAATGGAAAAGAAACAATTTCTATAAGACGTGTGTTAATTCAAATGTGCGAGTTTTATGAAATATGATCTAAGGATAATAATTATGTAATAGAAAAATTTTTGCTGACTTCCGACCTTGCGACGAAGGAACGAGCACAAGTTGGTAACATACGTGAATATTGTTTATTGCAAGTTCGTTTGTTATATTTGACGACTGAGTGACAGTTACCTACCAGTGCAACTGCGTTCCACAACCGGTTGTAGTGCATTCTCGGTCGCCGTTTTCGCGGTCACCGACACTTATTCTTCTAGGGAATCACATTTTTTAGTAAAATTTAATTTTGTAATGATAAACCGTCGGGGGAGGCGAGGAAGTTAATCCAACGGAGATATAATAGCGTGGGATATCAAGAGATACGTGGAAATCGTTCTATATCTCTCGTTTTCTTTAGCAACAATTGCGCGCTTGGAGAAAAATGCGAGAACTCGCGACTCTTACTTTTTCAAGTTCGTATGGCTATATCGAGAACGATCGATAAATCTTTTCGAGTGCTCGCGTCGACGACACTTATGGTGACTTCGACGAGCATTCCATAAAACGATTCTCCTCTCCCTTGATCTTTCACGTCGAAATCCGCGCAACTAGATAGAAATATTGATACGATTAGAGTTTACTTGGCTGACCGTATTCGGCCACAAAAATTGGTTACCTTGCGCCAGCTTGTCGATACAATAAAGAATGAGAAAATTTTCTGCTAAATCGTATTAATAACATTAATGCGATATCTTCAACAAGAGAAATCTTTATTGTACATAGATATTAAAAATTAAAGAAATTCGAAATGTTAAAATTGTACAGTTTAGCCGAGTATATCAAAATAAGAAACTTGTAAAAGATTATTATATACATATATATATATAATGAGATGATATAGTAATTATAATGATGATATATATGACGGTAACATGATGCATAAATGGAAACGCAAATGGAACGAAAAAAGGATTAGTTGCAAGTTTCTTTTCTCTTTTAGAGCATTAAACTATTATTTTTTAATTGTGACATTAATAACTCTGCATACAAATGATTTAAATCATGAATTTCAATTGATTTTGTTTTCAATGCGATGAATTACACGTATTTTCGCAATCATTTCTTGGAATTTTGCGGAATATATTATATGAGATATATTGTATTCACTTTCTACCTCACCATTATTTGTGAACAACATAATGCTATATAACATTCGAGATTAAAATTTAATAAATATATTTATTGATTGGCAAATGTACTTCATATGTGTTGGGACATCTATTTTTCATGTTTTCTTTTACTACACTTTTTCCTTAAATTTCTTATCCATGGCATATCCATTTACATCATTGTCTATCGTTATTATTTTAATAATTATGCTACATATAAGTATACACTTTATATATAATAAAATTCTTATTATTTATGTATTTGTCTAAACTGTAATCTTAAAATTTCGAATTTCTTCTAATTTTCTATATATAATAAATTTTTCTATATATAATAATATCTATATACAATAAAGATTTCTTTTTTTACAAGTATTACATTAATTTTAGTAATTTTAGTAATTTAACAGAAATATTTTTCATTTTTTTTTACTTATCAAAATAAATGTTTTATTTTAGATTATTTAAATCAGATTATAGTATCACACGAACAAAATTGAAATTCGTGCAAATTGTTTGTATGTAGAATTGTTAATAACATCATAACGTAGTTCAATGCTATACGAAAGAAAAGAAATATGAAACTAATCTTCCAAATACCGATACATTCCATAGATAACAAAAAGAATAGTGATCTGTGGTTCGTCTAATCAAAAGTACCATTTTTAAAGGCAAAAAGCCCAGAAAGAACTACTAATATTGTATTATAAGAGAAGCAGAGATATATTGAATCCCATGCTTAAATGTATGTATGTATGTGTACATACACAACATAAACACAAACATGCATACATGTATATACATACATACATACATACATACATACATACATACATACATACATACATACATACACGCAAAAAGCACATCCTCGATTGTTCGCCGAAAGCGTGCACAAAGACTTCCTGCCTTTTTCCCCTTCTTCGCGCTTATGCGAAACGTATAAAATGATAAAAATAGATTAATATAACGCTGATGCAATTTTGGTCAATTAGCCCATTTTAAAGATATTTAAAATTAGAGCATTTATCTGTTCCTTCTCATCCTTTCGTTCCCTTTTATTTGTTTGCATCTTGTTACGGCTTTAATATTTTCCAAGACTATAGCATTGAATTTATTTCGTTTCGAACGATTATAAATTTTCGTCGGACAATACATAGTACGATTATTGAAATGATATTGGTTTTTTTTCTTTTTAGAAAAGTTTATATCGAAGTGAAAAGATATTTTTGTAGGAACTCAACGCTCTTATTATTAATAACAATTCAACATAGAATTTATTCTATGTATAATGCTTATATTTTTTTGTATAATGTTTCTTTATGGATCTTTATACATGATATGCGTCCCAATAATGATTACGAGAAATTAATACGCCACATTATTTTCTTTTAAATTCTTTGATTATTATTTTTTTTTATTGCTAATTGTTAGACGAGTCGCGACAATAAAATTTGGAAGTTTTCAGCAAATAATCGAGGATGTGCATTTTGTATGTTATATAATGTTTTTTATATATAAATACATATATACATATATGCAAAAAAAACACATTCTTGATTGTCTGTCGAAAGTGTGCACGAAGATTTCTGATTGGATTTTATTGTCGCACCCCGTTGCTAAAAGTTAATGATAAATCTCGCGCCCAATTAAATAGCGCCAAGATAGAATAATTCTTTTTTTTAAGTTCTCATTGGGTAGATTATTCTATCCTCTTGTAAAATATTGGGGCCACATTATAATCTAAAAAAAAATAATAGAAAACAAAGGAGGTGGGAAAAAGAGAAATAGTGCTCTAATTCTAATTATTTTTAACATGGGAAGATCGATAAAAATCACCACTATTAATGTTTATTTATCATTTGTACTTTTTCGCACAAACGAGAAAGGAGGATAAGAATAGGAAGACGAAATTGCGCATTGTTATAAGAAAAAGAGCATCAGGGACCAACCAAGAGAGCAAAAATGCTTGATGTCGATTGTCACAGTGGATCGTTGTCTCTCTCTTTTCGAGCAGATAAAATTAATAGCAGTGCCTAAAAAAATTGATCCATTTGTTATCAAGTTGTTAGAATATTAGCATACGATGTCAGGATACGCTCAAAGTTTGTACGGGAATTTACATGCACGTGCGTACGCTGACAGGAGAATCACACATCATTGAGAAATCATGATTTTTTTACACTGTCGCGATAATCGATTGCGAAGGAGCATATAATCAATGCGAAGGAAATTAATGCGACGTATTAATTTCTCTAATTATGATTGGGGTGTATATATTCGTATTATTTATAAATATCTATATATATATATATATATATATATATATATATATATACATATATATAAATATCTATAAATATGTATAAAAGAAGGACGGGCATTTTATATATAGAATAAATTCTATGTTGGATTTTGTTATTAATCATAAAAAAGCGTTGAATTTCTATAAAAATATCTTCCAAAAAGGACTCGTCTTATTAATTATACTGTATTATATTATTCAATGAAAATTCATAATCGACTGAAACGAAATATAAATTCAATCCGCGCGCGCGTTCGTTATGCGGAAAATTCCGAAAGGATAAATTATTGTGATTTATCTCGTTTAATATCGATTCATTCGAAAATTAATGCGCATTATTCAGCATGTTATCCTGTCGCAATGACGCAAATGTTTCGCGATCGGCAACGTAAGATTTTCCATAATATCTCACTTTACCTTTTTCGATACATTTCATTTCCTTAAAAGATCTTCAGTCCGTTGCAAATCAAGATTTTTATTTATCAGTCATATATTTATTATAATGTAATATATTATTTTATCTTATCTTTTTCTCATAATTTGAAAATCTTGGAATAAATACCACTTCTCGCGTCTCGAGCTGTGTTACGATCCAACACTAGGTCGAGTAGCAGCCTAACGTTGCTGCTCGTGGGTGGGCCTCGCGGCAGGAGGATCAATATCACCGTGAGGGAGAGGAAACGAGCAGACTGAGAATGGGAGCAAGGGATAGGAACCGCCGCCACTGCCGCCGCGATGAGGAATAAGGATTACAAGGGCGGCGGCAGCGACGACGGGGGGGAAGGAGGGGTAGGGGAGGGAGCGAGGGGGAAATAGCGAAGGGTTTGCGAGAATCGCGCACCCTGAAAATGTCAATTCGTCGTTCCGGCTCCTCATAAAATTACGATCGTGATAAGGGTTGGTCCGCGTGAGGACCTCATTCGACAGCGCTCGCACTCTGCTATTTTCCTCTGCTTATCCTCGCGACGCGAAAACGCGTCTTCAAACGTGTTTCGTCGTTCCTGAGACGAATTTCATTAATTTTCTCGTTCACGAGGTCGTTACCTCGATCTATTCCTCGCTTCATCCTGCATTTACGCTCTTCAAAAATATCTGGATTCCCGTCTGTATCTTAATGATTTCGGCAAAGTGCGAAAGATCATTTCCAGAGGATACTTCCTGAAATTGTTAGCGTCGTCATTTGGGATGCCCGGTACAGCCGTATTCTGAGCCGGTCGTATTCGCGGCTCGTCGTCTCGCACGAGCTGCGCTTTCATCGATCCGATGCGCAAGCAGAACAACGATCCACTGGCCGACATCGCACGTTTCCTCGTAACAATTCCCCGACAACGACGACGGCCGAGTCTCGCTCGTGAAAATATATCGTGAAACGCGATATCAATTAGCGCGTTGACCTTTCGCGATGTAACGGTGCGCGGGGCGATATGTGCGAGGGATGCTCGCGAATATCGTGAAATCTTCATTCTCGATAACGAGCATTTGTATTAACGTGGTAATGTATCGAAATTATACGCTGTATTCGCATTCTGAGGATGAAAAGTTTGTAATAACTTTGGACGCTGCAACAGTCGTCTTTTCTGAACATCGGGAGCAATGTTTTCACACGTTTTTCCACAACCTTTCCTTCCCTCGCGGTCTTCTTTTTCGCAAAAAAAAAAGAAAAAAATGATGAAGAAAGAATCTTGAACGAGAGAAGATTGTACGCTCTAAGACAGTCGGTCGAAAACTTAGATATCAATTAATCACCACAAGGGGGATATTTAGTGGGATCAGTATTTCTACGCGAAAAGGTTTTGATATATACATATACATAAAAAAAAGAAGAAAAAAAATTAAGTAAGTTTATAGGGGGGAGGGGGTGATTATATCGACGAAGAGAGCTCGACGATGACATACGGCGCATCGGTGTTTCGTTTTCTTTGTCGCTGTAAATATTGTAGACGTAAAATAAGAAAGAGAAGAGGATAGATAGACACAGTATGTAATATGAGAGAAAGAGAGAGAGAGAGAGAGAACGACGCGAATGGATCGGGCGGAGGCGGTTTTCCTGACGACGTCATTGCGATGATCGATGATCGTGCAGACGGCTCCCTTCGGACGCGTTCTATGGCGAATATGACAGAGAGACGTTTCTCTTCGCGAAATCTTCCCGGTCCAGCGAATCGCTCTCGAAGGATCCGTCAAGACGGATCGCGTAAATGCCATGCGAAACGATGCATCGCCCTGAGGATCGAGACGTCTTTCGATTCGTCATTTCGCGGAAGAGAGCCGACACACGTGTGCTCTGAATTCTAAAATTATCTTCGTATATGTATATCTCAGGAAGCTGCGGAAAATTGCGCCAATTTCGCGCGGAAGGCAATCGAAAGTTACTCCTTTCGCCGAATCG